CGGCCCCCTGGCAGCTGCAGACCCCCCATGGGATGGCACTGGGGGGGGGTGTCCCAGCTTCACCTCCTGCTGGTGGCTCCCGGCTCCAAGGCTCACACTGAACTAAGACCATGGGAAAATGAAACAAAATCGGGGTTCCAGCTGCAAAAGACCCCCCAAAAAGCTGCAGGGTGGTCCCTGTGGGGTGGCTGGGGGAGGTGGGGCTGGGGAGGGGGAGGTGGGCAGCTCCCTGCCCTTGGCTCGTTAGCAAAGCTCTGCTAATAAGCCTGGTAGGGAACCCTCCCCAGCGCTGCCAGCAGCCAAGGGAGGAATCCAGGGGCTCAGGGAGGGAGGAAATCAGGGCTGAGGTGGCTGCTGGTGCCAGGTGGCTTCTGAAATAGCACCTGGGCAGGAGGGTGATCCATCATTTTGACCAAAAAAAGCAGAAAATTCAGCATTTTGTCCCCACGTGGGGGTTTGGCTTCGTCCACCCCCTCCTCCTTTCTTTGCTGATGGCTGAAATTCCCGGGGCAGATGCAGGATGGTGCCAGCTCCCCTGGAAGTCTTGTCCCCCCTGTCCCTGCCTGGGGGTGACCTGGTTTTGGGGAGCCCCAGGAGAAGATGTGGGGGTCCTGGGGGGCCCTGTGCAGCTCGGCAGATTATTCTGCTTTGGAGCGGGCTGAATAATTAATAATTATTCTTTGAATAATTGACAAGAAAGGAGAAAATATTGCAGATTCATGGCATGAATTATGCACCGAAGGCTCTTGGACCAGGTCCCTGTGGCATGGTGCTTGTTAACCCTCTCCAAGCTGCAGGAGGACCCCAAAATTGTGTAGGAGGATGAGGATGAGGTGGGGGGGAACCCCTGTGGTGCATCCAACTCCCTCCTCACGGGCAGTAGGGCAGGGACAGGCTGGGGCAAGGGTGACACCAATGCCAACCCTCTTGCCTAGGGCAACCTCCTCAGGTTGAGGGCATCTCCCTAGGTTGAGGACATCTTCCCAGATTGAGGACATCTTCCCAGGTTGAAGGCATCTCCTTAGGTTGAGGGCATCTCCTTAGGTTGAGGGCAACTCCCCAGCTTTAGGACATCTCCCTAGGTTGAGGGCATCTCCCCAGGTCAAGGGCATGTCCCTAGGTTGAGGGCATCTTTCCAGCTTGAGGACATCTCCCTAGGTTGAGGGCATCTCCTTAGGTGGAGAGCATCTCCCCAGCTTGAGGGCATCTTCCCAGCTTGAGGACATCTCCCCAGCTTGAGAGTATCTCCCTAGGTTGAAGGCATCTCCTTAGGTTGAGGACATCTCCCCAGCTTGAGGTCATCTCCCTAGGTTGAGGACATCTCCTCAGCTTGAGGGCATCTCCCCAGCTTGAGAGCATCTCCCCAGCTTGAGAGCATCTCCCCATGTCGAGGGCATCTCCCTAGGTTGAGGTCATCTCCCCAGCTTGAGGACATCTCCCCAGGTCAAGGGCATGTCCCTACGTTGAGGGCATCTTTCCAGCTTGAGGACATCTCCCTAGGTTGAGGGCATCTCCCCAGCGTGAGGGCATCTCCCTGAGTTGAGGACATTTCCCCAGGTCGAGGTCATCTCCCCAGTTCAAGGCCATCTCCCTAGGTTGAGGCCATCTCCCTGGGCTGAAGACATCTCCCTAAGTTGACAACATTTCCCCAAGTCAAGGGCACCTCCCCAGCTTCAGACCATCCCCTCAGCTCGAAATCATCTCCCCACCCTCCACCACCACCACCACCACGACCACCACCACGACCACGCTTGGAGCTCCTCCCTTATCCCCCCCTCTTCCTAGGAATGGACCCGACCACCACCTCCAAAAGCAACCACTGCCTGGACGCCGCCAAAGCCTGCAACCTGAACGACAACTGCAAGCGCCTGCGCTCGGGCTACATCTCCACCTGCAGCAGGGAGCTCTCTGCCAGCGAGCCCTGCAGCCGCCGGAGGTGCCACAAAGCCCTGCGCCAGTTCTTCGACCGCGTGCCCGGCGAGTACACCTACCGCCTGCTCTTCTGCTCCTGCAAGGACCAAGCCTGCGCCGAACGTCGCCGCCAAACCATCGTCCCCTCCTGCTCCTACGAGGACAAGGAGAAACCCAACTGCCTGGATCTCCGTAACGCCTGCCGGGCTGATCACCTCTGCAGGTGAGGGATGCGTCCTGGGGCTCTTGGAGCTGCCCCGTGGTGGGGTGATGGAGAATAAGCAGGAGACAGACACCATCCTCTGATGATCGGAAAGCCTCGTTTATTGACAATCAGAAGGCATCTTTTAGATTGTTCTTAATTAGCTCATGCCTATTTTAATTAGCTCATACGTATGGCAAAAGCGAAGCTCAGCATTGGTTACAGATTACATGTCAACCCCTCTTATGTTTCTCTTTTGTGTTTAGCCTTGTGGTTAGCAGTTCTTTAGCTTAGTGTTCCAGTTCCTTTTACTCATCCCATTATCCTACAATAGTTGCACCCCAGGTTAGCTTGACCTGGAGTTTGTTTTACTAAACTTCAACCAGCTGCACTTGATCCTGTCCCTTTGCTGTTAGCCACTCTGTGGCTAAGCTCTCCACAGTGGGGTTGGGAGGGGTAGTGGGGCTCTGGTTCTTGTTGGGTTGGTGCTGAGGTGGTTTGAGATAACACCTTGGTTTGACTTAAGTATGGCCGGCTCTGGAGTTGTCAGCAGGAGGATGGGAGGTGGTTGGAGCAAGGGGAGAGGAGGTCACAAAGGTGGTTCAAAGGGGGAAGGTGTCTTCTAGGAGGATGGGTTGAGAGTTGGGGTTGGTTCAGCTTGGAGAAGGCTCCAGGGAGAGCTTCTGGCAGCCTTTCGGGGTTTAAAAAGGGTCTGGAAGAAAGCTGGGGGCAGAGTTTTGAGCAGGGCCTGTTGGGACAGGACAAGGTTGGGAATTAAAAGAGATCTCTAGAGATTGAGACTAGAGAGAAGGAAGAAATTTGTGATGCTGAAGGTGGGGAGCCCCTGTTGGAGGTTGCCCAGAGAGGTGGTCGCTGCCCCATCCCTGGAACCATTCCAGGGGAGGTTGGACCAAGCTCTGAGCACCCTGCTCTAGCTGGGGCTGTCCCTGCTCCCTGCAGGGGGTTGGATGAGATGGACCTTGGAAGGTCCCTCCCCACCCAAACCAGTCTGGGATTCTGTGATTTTCCCAGTGCCAAGTGGCACTTGCCAGCCGGGTCTCCTCCAGCAGCAGCTCTCTGCTGTGTGTGAAACGGGGCAGAGTTGGTGGGTTTTGGCTACTCACAGAGATGTTTGTGGGCTGAGAGGTGGCTTTGAGTTCAATCCCCTCTTGCTGTGGGCTGAACCCGTGGGGTTGTGAGGGTCTTTGTGTGGTTTGTGAGCACAGGGGCTGCTCACTGAGCCCCCCACTGAGCTCTGATCTGCTCTGAACCCCCCAGTGCAAAACCAGAGCCCTGTTCCTCCCCTGCCTGGTTGGGGAGGCTGCAGTGGAGCAGTGCCCTCTGGCAACACTCAGAACCTGGGTGCTGGGGCTGGAGCTGCCACTCTGCTGTGATCAGAGGAGCTGAGCCCCTGGGGACCACGCTGGTCCCTCCCTGGGGCTGCTCCACGTCCCCAGGCTGGGGAGGGGGTGAAGATGGGGAGGGGATGAAGGTGGGGAGGCACCGAGGCAGCAGAATCCCTCTTGGTGCTCACAGCATCCCCAGCAAAACTTCCCTGACAATGGAATCTGCTTTTTTCCCCCCTGGCAAAGCAAAATTGGGAGCTCAGGCTTTAGTGCTGTTATGAAACTCATTATTCATACTGCAAAAAACCCCCTGGCACCCTCCGGGGGCTGGCTCAGCCTCGTAGAGAACCTGTTTCCTACCAGGAGGAGGATCTTTGTGCCATCAAGGTGATGGAGTTTCCCAGAGCCTGGTGGGGAAATAAATAAATAACCCACCTCCAAGTCTTCCTCTGGCTGCGAGCGCTGCCTCTGAGATGGGGGAATGGGGCTTTTTATCAAAAAGTAATACAAGGATGAATAAAAGATAGCAGGTGAATGAATGGTCGCCCATCTGCATCTCAGCCCTGGTGCCTGCACACACATCCAGAGCTGCTGGTGCTCACCAAAGGTGTGACCTGTGTCAGCAGCACCTTGAGGGGAGCCCCCGAGAGTTGCCCAGCATTAATTCCAA